GCGTTTAGGGTTCAGGGTTTAGGGCAAATTCTGAAGCCTTTCCTGCAGTCTTACGGCTGAGAGCTTCGGGTTCGACGGCGGGAGTTCAGCAACCCTTAGAGTGCACTTAGGGGCTCTTTGGATCCCTGTCCTGGGAGCTCGGCTGTCGGAAGCTCGGGCTCTTCATAGTCGGTCCAGGTTGTCGGAATGTCCGGACAATAGACAGGTTGCCCCGGGCTCTTAATGCAGAAGCCCTTAGCGAAGGCATCTGAATCGACCCCTCCATTCCCTTCGTCCGGGCACGCTGAAGAAGTATAGGCATGCCACGGCATGCTCGGCATTGGAAACAAGGGTCTTCGGGATCCCAGACCCCACCGTTCGCCAGTTCTTGCAAGCACCGAAACCGAAACTTCAGAGCCCCTTGAGCTTGGTCTCGGAAGAGCCGGCCTGGGAAGCGCACGAACTCTGGGACGATGTAGCCGATGCAGGCTAGCATTGCAACCTTGGCGCGGGAGCTCAACAGATGTCTCGTACCGACAGACACCCACACCCGCACACAGACAGACAGAGGGCCGACAACCACCTCTCCCAGCCAGGGTCCAGGGTATGGAGGATGGGGAGACGAAGACTGGACTAGAAAGTCTTGGGGGGTTCTCGGGAGCGAAGTAGCTAGCTTTGCATGTTGAAAGAAATGAAAAGGCTTCGAGTTTCCGCGGTGAAGGTTCCCTCTTCAAGTTCCGGAGATTGGGTGTTGGGCCTTCGTGGTGAAACGGTGGATCTTCGAACTTAAGACCTCACTGATGCTTGTAGGCTTCGTCTCATGGTTTAGGGTTTAGGGTTTAGGACTTACACAGCAGTCTCATGGCAAGGTTTGAAGCCCGAAGCTGGAGCAGGGCCCCTCCCAACCTGAATGCCTGCCGGACCTGCGAAGGCCGAGCAGTAATCTCCACAGAAAGGAAACACGGATAACATGATAAGATGGCCTCATTTAAGAATGAGGGACATGGCTACAAAAGCACGAAGGACACCGCGACGCAGGGCAAAAGTTACGGAATTGAAAACTGAAGGGGACTACGTTGCCCTGCTGGGCACGTTGCAGTCAAGACGAAAGCAACCGACTGAAGAAGTAGCCCTGGGAATTCATTCACTTTGTAAGCCCCGCACTCGTCCGTGCTGGATCTCGATGATCCTTCGTCGCTTGAACTGCGCCGCCGCGATCTGTTGGCGGGACGTGAACGCACGGGGGATCCGATGGTTCAGCACTGCGGGTTTTTCGAGATGACCTACAACAGACAGAAAGGATTGAGCGGCTTCGGAATTTGCGGGTGCAGGACATCGGGCTTAGGCTTCCGATACTGGAGATGAGTGGCTCCAGCTTCATCGAGGGTGGCTTTGCAAGGCAGGGCTGCTTTACCCGAAGTGCCACAACAAAATTATTTGCGGCTTTAAAGCTATTCTGATCCCGAGGCTGCGAAATCCCACACAGCCCTGCGATTGCGATTACCGACGAACCGCCAAAACCCTTCCCCAGCACGGCATAAACTCCCTAAACCCTAAACCCCTAAACCCTAAACCCTAAACCCTAAACCCTAAACCCCTCCGAAGGGCCACAGGGTCGTCGAACTTGCTGAGGCCAAGAGGGTCGAAGAATCCCAGAGGCGGAGTCACTCCGAGCTCCTTTCGACTTCCAGGCGCAAGGCTTCGGAGAGCTTGAAAGGAACCTTTAGGGTTTAGGGTTTAGGGTTTAGGGTTTAGGGTTTAGGGTTTAGGGTTTAAGGGTTTAGGGTTTAGGGTCCAGGAATTTCTCACACTGCAGGGCTTCGGATGCGTAGCTTCCACAGAATCCAGGAAACCTCTGCTGTAGACGCCCGAGATGCAGAAAAACGGTGCACCCTAGGGTCCGCTACCGGGAATCCTGAAACCATCCGTTGAAGGAACCTCCAGCGATCCAGACAACAGAAGCCGTGTAGAAGACGTCTTAGGCTATTCCAAGACCTAGACCAACAAGCCTGTCGAACCTCGGCAAAAACTCGCATATAGAGCCTCTATAGCACAAACCACATCAGAAACTTCTGAGCCTTTTCTTCACTTCCATTCTTCCCCTTTTTTTTGCAGAGGGTCCGCAGAGAAGTCGGGGGCCGCACGCAGAGGGGAGTCGGTGTAGTTGGCCCAGTCACCTTGGGCTCTCAAGGATGCACCCCCGAAGGTTTGCTGGGACTACCGCTTGAAAGGCTTCAGTCGCGGACTTGGGAACTTCTTACAAAGCGCGGGTGCCTTAGGCAGAGTGTCCCCATCGTAAAGATCCTATTCAGGGTAGAATTTGGGGGTCATGTAAGGGCCTGACACTACAAGGCTACAGGGAATGCCGCAGAGCTGTCGAGCATCGGGGTTAGATTCAACATATTATAGGCGTCATAATAGACTTCAGGGTTTAGGTGCGGTCGACATTGGGGTCTAGGATTTTCTGTCAATATTGGTGGCTGATTTCGGCGGCTTGCCTAAGAATGAGAGATCTTGGGTCTGCGAGTGTGTTTCAGTTGCCTGTGCTTGTTGCAAATCCACAGGCTCTCAACTGCAGGACTGCACGACAAGTCACTTCTGTGGCAGGACTGCTATGCATGGACTAGCATGAGCAAGCCAGCACGCGAAGCCCATGGAAACATGGCCTTCGCCATGTCACAAGCCATGCCGAGTACGCTTCGCTTCGGACGCGACTGCACAGCTCCCACCCGTCACTTATGAGTTCTCCTGGTTTCCTGACCCGTTTACATCAATGGTAGATATTGGACAGGTCTGAGAAGGCCGGCCAAGGAGCCCCAGGCGGATCCAGTCAGGCCATCCTGGAAGAACATTCCTCGCGGGCTTCGGAAGATCGAGGGCTCTTGGCGTAAGCCTTTCACGCCGCCTTGTTTTTTTTTTCTGAATCGGGGTAGGCAACACCTGCTCCGACTCAGCAAAGTTGGATCTCGAGCCCTGGGCAGTCGCTGAAGCTTCTCAGGAGTTCTGAGGTGGGCATGCGCTGATGTTGGCCCGAGAGCATCTCATGATGCTCCAGATTTTCTTGCAGTCTGCCACATAAACCAAGCGACTTGACTTAAACCTTACACGTCCTAACGGTACGTCCTCACGCCCCAAAAAAAAATCCTACGGCCGCAAGACGAAACCGGATTCATTCACCAAACTCCCGATCCAATCCTCTGCCAGAACCCAACCCAAACCCCAACGAGTTGATTTTCCAACCGAGATGGCATACTTCTGGCTTGGACTGGCAGACAGGCAAAGAGACCCCAACTTGAGATCGAAGAAACCCCGAGTTTTGCGGGAGAAACACAGGACCAAGATTCGTCCAAATGCGCAGTCAAGGTTCCGATGATGGCGAACATCGCGAGCCTTCCGTTGTTGATCTCCGCGTTCAGGCTCTTCATCTTCTTCTCCGGGTCCTCTCTTCTCTCAAGTTGCTGCTGGCTTTACAGCACCGCCTTTTTGTTGCTGCCCGCTTCTGGCCTCTTCCTGAGGGCACCTGAGAGCCTGTGCCCGAAAGAAGGGCAGAGACTGCTGCCGCTGTCCTCGATCTTCTTGCCGAAGGGGAGGCCGAAGGCGCCATAGCCTTTGCTGGGCTTCCGACCAGGGCTGAAACTCGCAGATCGGTTCTCTAAGGACTCTCGGCTGCAGGGATGGGGATTCGGGGTCGAGTCTTGATGCTGTTGGAGTCCATGATCCAAGGTTCAGAGGGCGGAAGTTGAAGATGCAGGCTCAGGTTTGGCGCTTCAAGACTCTGCCGGTTGTGGATTTTTCGGTTGGGGGTGCGCAAAGATTTTTCAGACGACTGCCGAGCGTGCTTGCAAGAAGCCCCCGCTGAACCTCAGAGAGAGAGAGAGAGAGAGACGGGAAGTCGGCCTCAGGCATCCCTGAATGCTTGCCTTCGATTGAAACCGCCTAGCCCCAGCGATACCAAAAAAAACAGCTTGCACCACATAACTGACGCTCCGGGTCGGATTCGGGAGCCACCACTACACCCAAAGCACCTTTCGCTAAGGAGCAGTAAGACGGACAAACAGGTATAACTTGAGTAAGAAAATCGTGTAGGGGCCTTAATGATTAGAGCAGGGTTTTGGGGCCCATTATACTCTAAACATAACAGGGAACCCCCAAAATAGTATAGGTAATCATTTAGGCCCCTACATGAAGAAAATGTAAAGCCCAAAACAGCCCTCCAACCCTGCAGCGGGAGGCCATAGTCGCCAAGGATGTCGGTCTGAACGTTCTGGAGGTTGGAGACCCTCAAAAATTGAAGAGGAACATGCAACCGCAGCAACCACAACTACACTACCGGGTGAGGCATGCAGTAGGCATATTACCCACATGCCTACATGAAGATCGTGTTTGCACCACTACTTTTGTGTCCAACGCTCGAAGCGGAAGGTGGAAGGTGATCCAGGATCTCGGGGTTTCCGATTTCCGGGTGCCATGAAAGGATGCCTGAACTTGGGGGTCTGCACCTTTGGAGAGCCCTGGCTTGGCGACAGGGCTCGGACTTGGGGTAAGGGTCGAGGGTCGGGGAGCGAGGGTTGGGGATCAAGAGACTTTCTTCGACGGTTTTCCAACCCGAAGACTGTTACCGGGAAATCGAGCACTCAGGAACAGAGCACGAAATCCCCGGACCCCCTAGTTCCAAACCGCAGAGCCTCAAATACCCCCCTAAGTGCTGGCTTGTCTGGGTCCCAGCTCTGGGATTCAACCCCTATACCTCTGCGTGGAGCTTCGCACTCAAATATCTTTCAACGATTGCGGGGTACGAAGGTGGGAGTGACAAGCGATAGGCTAGCTGCGGCGACATCGAGCTTCGGTGCAAGACTGGATCTTGTACCAATTTAGGCACTTTGTGCTTGTACATGGTGTCAGAGGGTGTTCTGATCCAGCTGCAACGCTACGGCAGCGGAACCTTCTTTGAGGATCAGAACACTTCCTACTCTTCAGTCTTGGAGTCCGTCCAACTTCCTGTTACGACGAAACTTTCAAGGCAAAATCCACAAAAACACTAAACTCCAAAGTAACCAGAAGAAATCATAAAGAGCCTTGGGGAATCCCCGTTTCTCAAAACGGTCCAATCCGCGTACTCGGAACACATCGACGCTTCTTCGTTGTGCTGCCGAGAGGCTCGATGATGCCGACCTTTCTTTCTTTGACTGTTTCAGGTGCTGCAGAGGCTCTGTAATGGCTTCTTCGCGGATTACTATGAGGGCCCAGAGACTTTGCCAAAAGAGCAACAGGAACAAACTGCTCCAAACAGACTAGAGAGTTTGATAAAGAGGCACATTGAGAAAGCGGAGCCAACCAGTCAAAAGAAAACTAACAGTTGAATTGCGAAAGGGACTAGAAACTTTTTGACAAAGAGGAGAATTTGAGAAGCAGAAACAACCAATCGAAAGGGACAGAGACGTTGAGAAACAGTGGCAACCAAGTCGAAAAATGGACTAGAACAGTTGAGAAACAGACCAAACCGCTCTAAGGGAACTAAGGAATTTCATAAACAGAAGATTTCAAGGAGGAGGAGCAACCAGTCAAAAGCGACTAGAAAAGTCGAGAATTTGACAAGCAGGGACTTGAGAAAGAGAAGCAAACCAGTCAAGAGGGACGATAAACATGGACAAACAGGAGCAGGCCTCTCGGAATGAACTAGACATTTTGACAAGAGGTAAATTTTACGAAAGCGGCGCGCATCAATCGAAGAAACAAGTGCAAACTGCACGAAAGGGACTAGCGAGAATTTGGTAAACAGGCAAACTTGAGAAAGAGAAGCAAACCAGTTGAAAGAGACTGGACGACAAAAGGACAAACAGGAGCAAAACCTCGAGAGAGAGAGGGACTAGACATCTTGCCAAAAAGGGAAACTTACGAAGGGGCAAACCAATCGAAAGGAGCTAAGAAACAGGAGCAAGCTGCCCGAAACGGAATAGCGATAATATGACAGACAGGAGAACTTAAGAACGAGAAGCAAAACAGCCGAAAGGGGCTAGAAAACATGAGCACTCGAAGGGGACCAGCTATTTTCAGAAAAGGGAGAAACCAATCGAAAGGAAGTGGCACAGTTGAGAAACACGAGCAAACCGCTCGAAAGAATCAAAAGAATGTGAAAAACGAGAATTTGACAAAACGGAGCAAAGAGTCCAAAACGGACTCGAAAGTTGAGAAACAGGAGCAAACCGCTTGACGAAAGACTCTAGAGCAGTGGACAAAGAAGAGGGGACCTATCGAACAGAGCTTCTGAATCGAAACCCTAAACCCTAAACCCTAAACCCTAAACCCTAAACCCTAAACCCTAAACCGCAAGACTAGGCCGAGCAAGCGGGACGCAGCATCTGGGCCCCCGGCGAAGGTGACGATCTGGAGCCATCCT